TTATTCACAGTATTTCAACATAATTGTACACATAAGCCGATTGCTTAGTAGAAACTTAAGTCGAGAGACGAGATAAAAAAAAAGGACGCGCACTTTGATTTTTACTTCTTACTTTTCAGCTTATCCGAACCCTCATCAAAGGTAGAATCTTGGACATTTAGCATCAGACTATTGCCACTGAGGAATACTCTATTCTGGGAATTAGCGATCTGAAATAAAGCGAGCAATAATTATATACATAAATATGTTTACATAAAAAAGTTTTTTTAAGCATATAAAATATTAATATATAAAATATTAATTTTCATGAAAATTTCATTGCATCTTTCAAAATATTAACAATGTGCGCATTTATAAAGATACTCACCGTACGCGAAATATTTTGTGCAGCTCGTATTTTACGTAATTTTAGGTATCCAGGATTCTGACCAACAGCCAGACCAAGGTACACTGGAGTTAAGGGATTTATATTTCAAAAATAATGTAGCATTTCACTATACTAGTAACTTATGAATTTAATTCAATATTTAAATTAATTGTGCAAAATTGAAGTGCTTAACAATTGTAAAGAAACAAAAGATTTATAGTTTCAACTATAATAATTATATCTTTTTCTAGAGCTTGTTTTCATCAATCAACTAAAAAAAATTAATTATTTCTATAAAGGATATCATTTTGGCTGCTTCCGCTTCTCCTTCGGCTTGTACGATCTTTTGTTGTCGTTCCTGCTTGGCCCTTTCTACTACAAATGCGGCTCGTTGAGCTTCCTGCTGGGCCACCTGTTTAGCCTCGACTGCTGCCGTGTATTCTTTACCGAAGCTAAGCTCTGTTATCGAGACGTCATCCAATACGATATTGAAATCTCGAGCACGTTCTGTTAATTCTTTACGCACCATGTTAGATACCTGCTGTCTTTGCGTAATTAATTGCGAAGCATTGAATTTGGCGACAACAGATTTCAGCACTTCGTTACAAATGCTTGGCAATACCTGAATTATTAATTTTAATTTAGTTTAAAATCTTTTTGACAACTATCGTATTGACGTATTGATTTCATCATAAATTAAAATTAGTCTTCAAGATTAATGTTATAACATATAATTCTATTTTATAAATAGAAACTTTAAGAGATTTTTTATTGCATATGTTAGAAAGCAAAGATATTAAAGAGATGAACATTCTTATGTATAAACGTTCTAAGAACCTTTTCATCATAATCAAGACCCAATTGCCGGTACATGGAAGGCAGTGTGCTGGCATCGGGACGCGAGAGAACACGTAGCGAGATATTGACCATTTGCAAATCTTTTGATCCTGTGGGTGAGGACAGCTTCCTAGGTCTGCTTCTAATATCATAGATTATTGGATACTGAAACCATGGAATGCGAAAGTGCAGACCCTCAGTCAAGATGTCCTTCTGAATACCTCCTAGCCGAGAGAATATGATCGCTCTGTGACCAGCCTCCACTGAAAGCCATAAATTTGACCATCTTGTAATTTATCCATTTAAAAAATCCAAAGAACAATCATTTTAATATCATTTTAATTTGTACAAAACAGAGATTAAAATTAAATAAGCACAAAGGACTTTTAATGTCAAATACAATATAACGATTAGAAAGGGCACAAGAATCAACTATAATAATCATTACAATATTGCAAGATTAATATATAAAATATATTATGCTATGTGAAAAAGATAAATATAAATAATAATTATTACATATTTCGGCTTCCTGATTGAGAATATCTTTAGATATTCGATTTAAACGCAGTATTATAGTTTAAAATGAAGAGATTCTCCTAAATTTCTATATTAAGCAAATTCAGAGGTAACAATAATATTGTATAATAAAGGCAACTTTATATTAACAGTAAAAATATAAAATAAATGTATAAAAAGAAACTATACAAGTGTGTATAAATGTAATAAATTGCGTCAGTTATATTGTAAATTACATAACCAAAGCCACTTGTAACGAGCGGCTGAAGAAATATCTATTGGAAAGTATAAACGTCGCTCATTAATTAAACTAGTGTTTAAGATCATTGTTTATTCAAGAGAGACAATAATACTTAGGAAGAGCAGTAATTATAACAATTATCAATAAAAATGGAAACGAGATTGAGGTTAACCTGTGTACATGGCTTTAGAAACGCTGTACGCCGCAACGCCCGCGGCAGCAAGAAACTTCAGACTCATTGGCACTCCATTTGTGCCTTTGCTGAAGCGCGAGAGCATCTCGTTGAATTTATTTTGCGCCATATCGAGAAACCACGTCGTAAAATGAACTGACACACAGTATATATCGGTGATACGATCAAAGATCCAATTCAAGGATGATAA